GAACCATTTCTCCTGCTCATCGGAAACACAGGCAAATGCTGAAAGACAGAACCAATCAATCACATACAGCGTTCACTGCTGACGCATGGCTCACAGTGCTTGTTCAGATAGGGCTGCATTTCCCAAAAGCATCAGAAGCATAAGTAGATCTTAAGACAAACAAAATTTCCACACAAATATGAAGCAGCAATAATAATAAATGTTTCTTGAGCAGCAAATTATATTAGAATGATTTCTGAAGGATCATGTGACACTGAAGACTGGAGTAATGATGCTGAAAATACAGCTTTGATCACAGATACATTTTAAATTACATTTTAAAATATATTTAAATAGAAAATAGTTATTTTTAATTGTTATATTTCTCAATATTGCTGCTTTTACGTTTTTTTTTTCTCAAATAAGTGCAGCATTGGTGAGCATGAAACTTAAAAACATATTACAAAATCTTACTGACCCCAAACTTTTGTGTAATATTTATTTTAAACTGGCTAGTTTGTGCAAGTAAATTTATTTAAACTGGTTGTTAAAAGTTTAAATGGATTGTGTTATGTTGTGTAATTGCTGTTAATAAATCTGTCAGAAAAAAATATGCTAAATTTTCACAGCCTGGCAGCCTTTTACAAAAATTAACCATGGTTTTATTACAGTAACCACAGTTTACCACAGTATTTGTAGTAAAACTGCAGTAACCACAAATTTACCATGGTAATAATAATAATAAATTTTAGTACTTATGTAACACCATGTTTATTTTTCATGAGGTATCCTCAAAGGTCCACCTTTGTAACTTATCTACCCTTAAAGCATGCATACTTGTATGGTACTAATATGCTCCATTTTAGGGGTAGTTGCACCTTTGAGGTTACTGCCTCAGTAAAGGGCTAAAATACAATTATAGTATATTTTATTTCTGACAGTATAAAAAAAAAAGTCCTATGAAATGTTAAAAAACACGGCTTTAAAATCTAATATTAAGTGAGTATAATTACTGATTATATGTTCTTTTAATAATTTAAAAGATCAGTTTAGTTTAGAAGTATCGGTATCGATATCGGCGATGCTGGGCTTGAAAATATTGGTATCGGATCAAATAATCGCTTGAGAAACAGTACCCTTCCGCGGCTCAGTACGCTTTCGACTCGCTTTTTTAGTCTCGAGCAAGACAGTATGACATTCACATTACATGATTTGACTGATTTTTACGTAGAAAGGGCGACAGGGCACCGCATTAAAAGAAATGATCAATTATGTTTTCGTAACCGCTGACCAAATTCAAAAACTAAACTAACATTAAATCATCTTTGAGAGCAAGGGGGCCCCCTGGTGTTTCGGGGGCCCTACGCAGCTTGCATATTTTATGTATAGGGAGGATCGGCTCTGATCATATGCGGCATCACTCTGGAGAGAAAACATTTAAGTGTGATTAGTGTGGGAAGAATTTTACCTCATCGGCAAATCTAAAAAAAACAATTCATATGAATGAGAAGCCCCATAAATGCTCTTTGTATGGAAAGAGTTTTCCACGGCTGGACTCTTTGAAACAGCTCCTAAAGATCCATGATGCTGTGCGGGATCACATGTGTTTTGAGTTTGGCAAGAGCTTTACAGCAGCTTTTTCACTTTTTCAACTTTAGTTAGTCTGTAATGTTGCTGTTTGAGCATAAAAAAGATCTGCAAAGTTACAAAGCTCAAAGTCCACTTCAAAAGGAGATATTTTATTTAACAGAAATCACTTTTCAAAAACTACAACGAACGACTCGTTTGGTCTGCAATGCATATTTTCCGGGATTTGTGATATCACAAATATCGACGAATGGGACGAGACCTGGTTGAGCTGCACTAGAGAAGGCAACGAGTGTTATCATGTCGGAGATGCACTAGTTTTCACAAAGCAGACGAACAATCTGTGGTTACAGTGGTTACAATCATCCGGGTTTAAATCACGCTCAAATTTATTTGATTTTGACGCAATATTTACACTGAAGCTCGCAGGCGGCTATGGTAAGGGGCATGACATTTCCCGACCAGGCGCCGAGTGCTGCAATCACAACACACACTGGCCCAGCCAACCAGTCACAACTCACACTGGCCCAGCTAACCAATCACAGCACATACTGGCCCAGCTAACCAATCACAGCACACACTGGCCCAGCTAACCAATCACAGCACATTTCGTATTTCAGAAGGCGGGCCTTCATTTGATACAGGATCTATTCGAGCCGTTCATGCCAGACTGGGAAGAGAGGTGTTGTAATAATGTAAAATATGTGAAAAATAATGTGTTTTTCGAACAACCTAGTATGAGAGCCTGTTCTAGTACACCCCCAAAACAAAATCAAGACTTTGTAAAAGAGCATAATAGGACCCCTTTAAACAAGCACATACAAACAAATTATGGAGAGGAACCTCATGCATCGGCTCTCAATCAACTGCGCAGTAGATCAAATATATGAGATTCAAATTATTTGAATGTTATGTTACTGTTTAAATAGAGTTGTGTTTTTAATTTTTAATTTTAATGTTCTTTTATTTTGGAGAGTAGCAAAAGTATATTGCGCTTAGATTTGTGTATTTTTATTCTTGCATTTATTGAAGATCATTGAAAAGCTTTCAGTCATCTTTTAATCATCTAAAGCATTTAGTCTAACGATTCATGTGAACCAAACTTAAACCACTGAAAACAAGAATCTCTTAAAAAGATAACTCAGATAGATTTAATAATTTTAAGCATTGAAAAGTGAGATTTGTTGAAATAACGTCAGTATTGTAATTATTACATTATAGCAAAGGTGATTTTTTTTTGTGTGGGGGTTTTTTGGGGGGCAGAACAGAACAGCTGATGGAACGACCACAAAAGCAGAGATTGTCTTAGAGATTTGTCCTTGATCAAACAACAAACAAACAAATTAATTAATGAATTAAGTAGCTTTGAACTGTCCCAAGATTTAACAAACATTTTAATTTGTTGAGGTTGCGCGACTTTATTTAATAATTAAAATTGTTTAGGACGCATTTAAAATGTTGGACGGAGCGTCAACGCCCACTAGTGGACCATCATTAGTTGAAGTTTGCCTTGCTTAAACCTTACGCCTCTAATGATTCAGTCAGGGAATACACGTAACGTCACGTGTTTATCGCTCGAGTCACAAATAGAGAGTGAAAGTAAATGCTCAGGTGTTTCGCCATGTATGAATCGATTTACAGTACGGAATATTGAAGTGTTTTATGGGGAGCTTTATAGCTAATGAATTTACCTGTAGCTACTTGACAGGAAAGGATTTGTGTGAATCTCTATGTAATTATATTTTGGTCAAGGCGAGTGCTCAGATCTCCTGACGCTTTACTGGTGACTTCTGCATTCATATATTTTCCCTGAAGGACGTGTTTCGGGTTGCCTGCGGTTTATTTGAGCATTTGTGCTGACATAGAACAGACATGATTTGAATTCGAGTGAACATGCGTCTCAAGATCCTGCTTTTTAAATGTATGTATTTATTTATTTTTGTCACATGATCCTGTTTCTCCATCTCTCTCTGGATCGGCTTGACGCCATCGCCGCCCTCGTCTCAAATAGAAAGTGAAAGTAAATGTGATGTTTCGCCTTTTAAACAATTAGAACCGTTTCTTTACAATACGTATTATCAACGTTTTTAATAGGAACCGTGAATTTACCTGTAGCTACTTATAGAAAAGGCGGAACATGTTGTCGTTATGTAATTAAAAATTGATCAAGGTGAGAACACAAGACTCGAGATACTGTACAGGTGACTTCTGGAAACGAGAAAAACAGAATTTTAGGATCTTGAGACCGACCCTCAGGATCCGTTCAGCTGAATTATTGTGTTTGTTTGTCATTTCCATCCAGAGTCAGTGGTGAAGATCAGAATCTGTTTCATCATGGATGACTCACAAACATCCAGAGATGAAGATATTTCTCCAGGATGCAGGTACTTTCAATAAACACTATTTAATCACTTTTAAATGATTGAAGATGGCAAGATGTTGTTTGATGATAAAGGCTTTTTGGACCTTACAGTAAAATGATGGTCGTCATAAAGAATTTCCTTTTTACTGTTATAGTTTTGTCCATCGGAAGTGATCAGAACAGTACAATATTTGGAATACAGTAATTTAAAGCATTGACTGTAATCTTTTATTTTTTTGTAGTTCAGTTCATCAGAAGAGTTCAGAGCCAGAGCCCAGCTGTGTGTCTATGAGGAGTGACTGCTCTATGTTTTGGCCAATAGATTTTAAGGGTGGAGATACACAGTCTGATCTAAGGTTTAATATTTCTATAAAAAATATGAACAATTATCAGTAAAATTATTTAAAAATATATGGATTATCAGAATAGTATTCTAATAATGATAAATTATTTTATTTTCATTTGATAATTTAATATATATATATATATATATATATAGTGGTGCTCACACAGAGACATATTTGTGATAGCATTTAGTTCAGTTTACAGTTTTTGTATCAACACAAATTAAGTAAAGATCATAAAGTGCTCTTTAAAATGTTTGTATGGCTGAATATATATATATTTTTTATTTGTATACAGTAATTTAAAACATTCACAGAAGAGATCGGAACCAGAGCACAGCTGTGTGTCTATGAGGAGGTCCTGTTCTATGGATAATATAATAAATTCTAAGAGTGGAGATACACAGACTGATCTCAGGTATAGCATTTCTTTAAAAGATATGATTTGATGATGATACAGAATACAAAAAAAAAAAACATTGTTCTCATTAACTTGTGTAAAAAAGTGATATTTATATTTTACAGCAGAAGACCTGAGAGAGTGTGGCATTGATGTGACAGAAGCATCAGTGTACTCAGGATTGTGCACTCAGATCTTCAGAGAGGAGTTTGGCTTGTATCAGGGGAAAGTCTTCTGCTTTGTTCATCTGAGCATTCAGAAACATCTAGCAGCTCTGTATGTGCACCTCTCCTGTACAAACCACAACAGAAATGTGTTTGAGCCAATCACCAAACAGAGTTTGATATCTAAAGTTCGAACAAATTCATCAGATGTTTCATTATTTGCTCTGCATCAGAGAGCTGTGAATGAAGCTCTACAGAGTGAAAATGGACGTCTGGACCTTTTCCTACGGTTTCTTCTGGGTCTGTCAGTGGAGTCTCATCAGATTCTCCTACAAGGACTAATGAAACAGACAAGAAGCAGCTCTGATAGCAATGAGAAAACAGTGGAGTACATCAAGATGAAGATCAGGACCATTGACTCTCCAGAGAAATTCATCAATCTGTTCCACTGTCTGAATGAACTGGGTGATCATTCACTAGTGGAGGAAATACAACAGTATCTGAAATCTGGAAGAATAGCTGAAGCCAAACTCTCTTCATCTCAGTGGTCAGCTGTAGCTTTTGTGTTGTTGACATCAGAGAAGATGCCAGATGAGTTTCATCTTGATAAATTTGTTAAAAGAAGCAAAGCTGAAAATATGAAAGTTCTTCAGATGCTTCTGCCTGTGGTTAAAGAATCCAGATCAGTTCAGTAAGTAAGAAAATCAAATTGTAAAGTCAGAGAAGTCCTATAAATAACTCTGGCTTACCAGGTGTTGTCTTTTGCTTTTTTGTTTTTTTTTACATAAAGAGGTAATTTTTAAACATGGGCATAATAGACCAAGCAGAAATTGAGACCAACCAAGTGAATAATCAGTACATATATAAATCATATTTCACATTAAAAACATGATTTTTCAATTAATGGAGCAATAGCGCAACATACTTAAAACACATTTTTTGAGGACAACTAATTTGTAAATGCTAATTGAATTCGGTCCTAAAGTTTTTGTGTGTATGTGTGTACAGGTTTATCCTCCATTGTGGGGTCCAAATGTCCCCACAAGGATAGTAAAACCTGACATTTTTGACATTTGGTTTCTGTTTCTGTGAGGGGTAGGGTTCGGGGTAGGTTTAGGTTTAGTGTATAGAAAACACTGTTAGATCTGTATAAAACAATAGAAGCCTATGGCAAGTCCCCACAAAGATAGCTATATAAATTTGTGTGTGTGTATTTGACCATGAAGCTGGAATTTTAAATTAGTGTTTATTGCAGTTGTTTTATTGCTTTTTTTCCAGTTCATAGTGTTTAACAAGTATGGTTGTCATCTTTTTTACAGTTTAAAAGATTGTGGTGTCACAGATGAAGGTTGTGCTGCTCTGGCTTCAGCTCTGAGATCAAACCCCTCACACCTGAGACATCTGGATCTGTCTGGAAATAAACTAGAAAGTTTTGGCGTGACACAGCTCTGTGCTTTATTTGAAGATCCTCATTGTAAACTGGAAAAACTAGAGTAAGTGAGTGATGAGACGTGTCAGCCAAGTATGGCAACCCATACTCTGTATTTGAGCTCTGCATTTAACCCATCCAAGTGCACACACACACCCCCGGAGCAGTGGGCAGCCATATTACTGCAGCGCCTGCGGAGCAATTAGGGGGTTAGGTGCCTTGCTCAAAGTCACCTGAGTCGTGGGTATTGAAGGTGGAAGAGCACTGTTCATTCACTCCCCCCACCTACAATTCCTGCCGGTACTGAGACTCGATCCTTCAAGTCTGACTCTCTAACCATTAAGTCACAACTGCCTAATGGTTAGAGAGTCGGATCATATGACTCTCACACATGAGACACAATATAAAGTATATTTGAAAAGCTCAATCGGACCCTTCAATCAATATACTGTCAAAACTGTTCCATGTATTATGTTTTAAGACTTATTTCTCCTGCTTGAATTAGACTTTAGATGTTTTGTGCTCTGTGACATTTTAGACCTCAGTCCAAAGATCCATCAAACATGTCGATTTGTGCTTTAAATTTGTACTTTCTCTTTAATAATGGATTCACTGCTAAAGTGATCTGATTTGATCTGAGAGAGTGAAGAGTGTGTCATTGTTCTCTTCAGGTTGAGTAAGTGTGGTCTCACAGATGAAGGTTGTGCTGCTCTGACTTCAGCTCTGAGATCAAACCCTGAACACCTGAGAGATCTGAATCTGTCATCAAATAAAATGGGAGATTTGAAAGTGAGTCTGCTCTCTACTGTACTGGAGAATCCTCACTGTAAACTGGAGAAACTGAGGTAAGACCATGGATGACTCTGACACATGAAACACAATGTAAAGTATATCTGAAGTGTTCAGCCTCTTTCTGCTGCTGTGAGTTCAGCTGATTGAGCTGGAAATGATTAAATACATGAGCTGTTCCTCAGTAACAGAATACTGCAGGACTGAGAGTCACACTGAAACATACACTTTCCCACACAATCAACATTTCAATCTCTTGAATTTAAACAGATTTGAGCTAAACACAGTCAGAAATTAAAATATGGATTCATTCTTGCTAGAGATGAGCAGGACAGCTCTAACCACCCAAATCCACTGTTAAAATAAATTGGCTACCCACCACCCACCTGAAACTAAGATTTTCTCTGATTTGGTTATCCTCACCCCAACCCCACCAAATCGTTACTTTAAAGCTGCAGTCCATAACTTTTTTGGTAAAGAATTTCTTAATATGAAATTCGAATAGTATGACAATTAGATTAGGCTGTGCAGAAATTGAAATCTACACGCTAATACACACTACTCATAGTCACCAATGCTGATGTTGCTAACATTAATCATTTGAGAATAAAGTATAACAATAATAATACTTTTAACGGTTTGATGTGATATGAGCTAACCGATCTTTAGATTTAATCACCATTGTTAGCGAGATTTATTGTAATGCTTTTTTCCTCAGTTGGTCAGAACAAACGTGGCAGACTTGTTACTTACTTGTTCAGATGGCAATATACGGTGAAAATTATTATTCGGGTCATATTCCAAGATGTGGAATATGACCCACATCTTGGAATGGTCCAGCAACCATCATCATATGCTTTTTGATCTCTTTTTCAAAAGCCTTCATGACCAAAGAGGTCAAGGCAATAGGACGGTAAACATCAATGCCTAAACATAGCACCTAATGAATCTGAGGTGGTCAGGTGGTAGTGGTACAAGTTGTAGCTCTTAGAAAATTCCCAGTTCACACAAAGACATGAAGGCTTTTTACAAGTTGGTATCTCGTAATCACGGTAATTATGGCATTAACAAACCTTCAGTTCTTCAGGAATATTGCAAGCAGGATTGACAGAACCGGTGTTTTGCCCAGTTCTGAGTTTAGAGATATGTGTATAGGGCTGCACGATTATGACAAAAATCTGAATTGCGGATATTCCCTTGAAATTGTAATTGTAATTGTGATTATCACAATTTACATTGAATTATGTTTTGATTAGCTTTATACCATTTTTTGAAGAAACTGCATGCCACATTTTTATATGAAAATAAACAAGCTGAAAACACTCTTCCTGAAAAACTTTTATTGCTTTTCAATAGCATTAAGCCTCAAATGTCAACTATACATTGGTTTGGATTCTTTAAATAAATAAAAAAAAATATGCATGGTATTATAATATTAGAAAACTAAAATTTAAAACAATGGGGGAAAAAACACACACAGGACTTTTTTTTTTTTTGTAATTGTGCCTTTGAACGATTACGTAATTATGTAAACGCAGCCATAGTATATACACATTTGTGTCCTCATACACCATGTATTCACACACTCACACACATACACACACAAATCACAATCAATATAAACTCCATACATGTTAGCACAAAATGTTATAATGAAATGTTAAATTTAGATGTTTTATGGTCATATTTTGTGCTCTGAGACATTTTAGACGTCAGTGATCAATCAATCAAAAATGTTGATTTGTGTTTTAATTGTGTACTTTCTCTTTAATAATGGATTCACTGCTAAACTGATCTGGGGTGCGTTTCCCAAAAGCAACTATGGTCGCAAGTTCCGTTGTTACCAATAGATTTCAATGGAACTTACTACCATAGTTAGCTAACGATGCTTTTGGGAAACGCAGCCCTGATCTGAGAGAGTGAAGAGTGTTTCATTGTTCTCTGCAGGTTGAGAGATTGTGGCATCACATATGAAGGTTGTGCTGCTCTGACTTCAGCTCTGAGATCAAACCCTGAACACCTGAGACATCTGGATCTGTCTGGGAATGAACTGGGAGATTCAGTGAATCTGCTCTCTTCTGTACTGGAGGATCCTCATTTTAAACTAGAGATACTGTGGTAAGATCACATTTCTAAGACTAAAACCAGCTTGTAAAATAAATGTTTAGTAAACTCACTAAATCTCAGAACAAATGACTCTGATGACTAAAGATGATGTTAATTTCATCCATCTCCATCACATCTGCTCACATTCTGCTCCTGTTTTTGACCCACCAAACATGGAGCTTCTGGTAGTTTGATTAATACTTCTCAACTTACTCCTCTTTTTTAAAGGTTAATTTTAATTTTGTTTACTTGTTCTGAAATCCCATGAGCTCATTGTGTTCTCATAGATGTCATAAAGCATGGCATGAATTGAGGTGAAACTGTGAAATACATTGGAGAGCTGGAAGCCTTTGCCGCTTTTGTGAACCAGTAATCTGAACAAAAAGCAAATTCTTAGTTCTGATCGGAAAACCGGAGATTTAACATGAATGTTCAGATATCATTATTGTGTAAAAGAGTGAGCCAGAGCCTATGTGACTTACTGCAGATGACGACTAACTCAGAGGTTTAGAGTTCAGCAGTCCTCACATATCCTGAGCAAAGTATTATTTAAGAAAATAAAGACAATAAAAACTCCATAGACCATAAAACTGGAGGTAAATGTGAGGAAAAGAAGCTCATTAACATCATCTCAGTGCATGTGTAGACAATAGTTCTTACATGGTACATTAAAAAATTCAGTTTATAAGCTGCCAGATGAGACCAAACACAACAAAAATATGTGTTTGATTACAAAACTTAATAAATGTTATGCAATGTGGAACATGTGGGTCCTGTGAAGCAAATGTCCTCCTGTAGGTGTTTATTAGAGGTACACATGATGAGAACGCAAGGCAGTTCATTCCATTTTTGGAACCTTTTTTAAAAATTATTATTATTGATTTCCAACATATAATATAAAGGTACTGAACAAATATAAACTACAACAAAGAAATAGAAAATATACAGTATAATAAAATACAGGTAAAAAAAATAAATAATAATAATAATAAAAAACTAAACAGAAAAAAGAACAGGTATGTGTCAGGGTTGTGGATGAAGGGATGATGCAAGGACTCAGTAGTGCAGAGTAATGGGCTTTTAATAGTAAAATAAAACCAAACAATAAACAAAAACTACCCTGTGGCAGTGTTGCCAACTGCTTTCAATTGAAAGTAGCTAAAAGTCACTAGATGACATCACAATGGCAAATTCACTGATCTATATAAAGATGAATGTAGATCAGTGGGCAAGATGAGAACTTAGATAAGGTTTGTCCAAGCAGTTGCTATATTTGTCCCTAAACTTTTGAAAAAAGTCTCAAAAGGGGCAGGGAAGTCGCTAAATCTAGTTACAAAGTAGCTAAATTGGCAACACTGCCCTGTGGGGAAAAACAGGCTGGCAAGGCAGGATCACGACACGACACATTCAATGGTGATACGATGACGAACTGGCCCAAGACTTCAAACACAAGGACAGTAAATAGGGAGCAAATGAGGAGGGTAACGAGGGAACACATGTGGGGCAAATTAACTAATAATCAGGTAACAAGACGGGTGGGGTCAAGACAATTGACATGAGAGCACATGGCACACAGGAAACAAAGACAAAAGCCATGTGCTCACACAAAACAATCACAAGCCATGTGCTTGAACAAAACAAGACATGAACACGCAGCTAATGAGAAAACTCATAAGCCGCGTGTTCACACAAGACAACAAGAAAAGCACGTGGCTGAACACAAACCGCGTGCTACACAATACACAATACACAACACACGTGGACAGAAGAGCGCACGGCCGAGCGAACTCGAGACCGCACGCTCCCACAACAGACAGAACATGGAGCGTGAGTGTCCGGACCCCGACACGAAATTGAAACTCAACAAGACATAAGTGCCGGGATCTGAACACCACGCTCCAACATGAAACAGGACACGCAGACGAGAGCGCACGTGCAATATATTGGAATATTATACCTTTGAAGAAATTCTATGTAGGTATACAGGTGTCCATTTTCATTAAATAACTGTTTAACAAATATAATTCAAACATAATTCAGTCTGAATAAGCTCTTTTGCACTACAAATCATTTTTCTGCACTACAATCATTATATCTGCACTGTTGTTTACTTTTTTACAAAATTATGCTTATATACAGTGGGGCAAAAAAGTATTTAGTCAGCCAACAATTG